AGTTACGGAAAAATCAATTAACAAACGGAGACGTAACAACATCATTCCAAAAACTATTTGTGGGGAGGAGGCACGTTTTGGCTCTTGGCGGTCCTGATTATAACTTATGAAGATATTACTAAAGAATAATATATGCATCGGGCCTTCACTGAATCAGTTTAGGTCTCACGTGACAACAATAAAGATGTACTAAGTGTGAAGTTTTAGTAGTAACTAAGTTTGAGGTTTTACGCACTTCATAATAACTAAAGATTCAACTATTAATTTTTCTAAAAATTATAAACATTTAATATACAGAGAAGCCTAAGGGATTGTATATATATTGATACGATGTATTTTGTCACTTTAAACAATATTTTAATTGTACTTCCCTATCGTATCCCTTGCTGGTCATTTGCATTTTTCACTGATTAGAGTTTTAACACAGAAGCCTAAGTAATTGAACCAAGAAACTACATTGATTTACAAGTATAATCTATTTTCTTAAAATAATTAATTTATTATTACTCACTGCATAAATAGAAAAATGTTTAGGACACAAGAAAAAGGTCCTTGGGTGAATTTCCAGAATAAGGTATTCCCGCTGAATACTTGATGTTCGTGGGTTTGAGTAGTATAAATACGAAGAAGGGTCAGGTATTGTTCGATTTTCAAACTCCAACGATGTTACACTCAACACAATCCATCCAAATCCAACACAAAGAACTATTCCGAACAGCACTCCTTGTACCATCGTACTTTATTGTTTTCTGATAATTTCCTATATTAAAGATAGAAGAAAATAGACCAATTAGAATAAATCAAAATCAGAAGAAAGTGGACAAGTAGAAAAAAGACGGATCAATTTCTTTAATCCTCAATACATCAAGAAATTTTAATTGCAAAAATAACTGAGTTTCAGAAAAAGAAATGTTGTCGTTCTTATAAAACATGGTTATTTTGGTAGTGTTGTATGCAATGCAATACACAAACAGTTTAAATTATATTTAATTAAATTATTTTTAAATATCCAATGGTGTCAAAATTTTGCTCAAATGATTGAGTGAACAATTAACAAACCATAATACTTTTTAAGTGTAGTCAAGGAAAATATGTTAATTGCAAAGTTACAATGAACAATTTTCTGGATCTTAAAAACAGATTAATATTGATGTATTGATATAAAGAGTTGTATGGTGTGTTTAGGTTCGTTTTACTCACATAGTGATCCTCTATACATTTATAATATATACCAAGCTTTAAACAAAAACTGTGCACAACAAAACAAAGTCACCAGGGCAAAGGCTATAATGTGAGGTATAAGACGTGTCCTGGATTTTGAAGGTGAATACGAAAGTAGAACCCACATAGTGGTGGTAATACACCGTCTATCAGTCTTAAACTGAATTCACAAAGTCTCACATACAAAGAAATAATAAGAAGAAGAAATTAAAATATGAAAAAATAGAATAAAAGTGAAAAATGTAATTTTTCATGTGGGTGCTCAAGCCCACAACGTTCCACATCTATATCATATTTAACTTCCTGCAGGCAGTTGTGGGAAGGTGACTGCTCTCAGAAGAAAATAAATGAAAAATTAATAAGAAAAAATCCTACCAATGAAGGTGGTAAGTAAAAAAACCGTACCTCCTGAAGTTGAAATTCCAGTCTTCATTATGATAGTAAAAGCTCAAATTAATAAAGTAATATTAGTAACATTTCTTTTCGTTTATATTGGTCCTACTTCCGCAGACATCTCCAAAAAGCAGCACACATCTTATACGCCACATTATAGCCTGTGTCCTGGTAACTTTATTTTGTTCTCCAGAGTTTTTGTTTAAGGCTTGTCTTTTATTACAAATATGCTTTGTTTTATTTCACCAACAGATTTATTCCTTTTTGATGTAAATATTAACTAAACTGTGATATATATATATATCACACAAACATTACAAAGAGCCTAAAAATTCAAAATTAATTTTCTACTACCAGTCCTATTTGTCATAATTAAAACTCACAACGAATAATGTCTGTGGCCATAGCACCCAAATGCGTTGGGGATATTCCATCTATAAAACAAGATCCAGTCGCCAATGTCAAACTAGCCAGCAACTAAGGAAATTCAGTTAAGGGTTAGGAGTTGAGTGCTTGAACCCACAACATAATATAATGTTTTGGGACAACATGTGACCTATTGGTCCATCTCGGCTGTCCCATCCTCTGAACTAAAATAAAACTATTAATAATTTGAAAAATCTTAAAGCCAGCTCTTATTGTTCATATACTTATCAAGTTTTCTTTTAAATTCATTTAAATTTACTGCCTCCACAGCATCCGAAGGCAACCCATTTCAAAGATCAACCGCCCTGTTACAAAAATAAAACTGTCTTAGCTGAAGTTGACTCCTATCCTGTCCAAATTATCTTGCATTTATTATAATTAAAACCCATTTGCCATTTATTTGCCAACCTCTCTAAATGATCTAAATCATTTTGTAACTCAGCAGCAGCATCTTCAAAGCTATTAACATCCAAGACCTTAGTATAATCTGCAAATTTAAGTCATTTATTGACCATTCCTTCATCTATGTCATTTATGTAAACCAAGAAGAGCAAAGGTTCTAAGACTGAGCCCTAAGGTACCCCACTTGTGACATTAATCCAGTTTGACTGAGCTCCATTTGTAACAACTCCCTGCTTTCTTCCATCCAACTACTCTTCTATCAAATTTGCTAACTTATCTCCCACAACCATAGATATTATTGTTTTTACAATCCTTTTATGTGGAACCTTATCAAACGCTTTATGAAAATCCAAATAAAACAAATCTACACCCTTACCCTCATGTCAAAAGATTTGTAAGGCAATATTTCTCTTTATGTTGACTATCCAATAAAATCATAAACTTTGTTAAATGGCTTTGCAAAGTATCTTTGATCAGACTTTACAAAACTCGTCCCACAACTGATGCAAGACTAATGGGCCCATAATTACTGGGACAATTTTTATCATTTCCCCTGAAAAGAAGAGTGACATTAGCTAACTTTCAATCCCCTGGTACCTGCCCACTATTCAAGGAATTACAAAAATAGTAGCAAGTGGCTCTATATCTAATCCTTAACCTCCTTCAAAACCCTTGGGAAAATATTATCTGGCACAGGAACCTTATTGTTCTTTAAACTTCCCAAATTTTTCTTTACAAGCTCAGAATTAATGCAGTCATCATGTTCGATCCTGTTTTTATCTTCTATCAACTGTTCAAGATTTGGAATACTGCTCACCCCCTACTGCCTTTCGCTGTCTACAACCAGATGTGGGAAGGCAGTTACCCTTAATATTTAGATATAACCTTACAGTAGATTTAAATCACCCTTAAATGTAAAACTCCCAACCTCCACTCTTTTATTTAATAATTAGTGATACTAAACAGAACTAAGTACCTCTAGCTTAATAGTTCTTAAGCCCTCACTGAGTGAGCTGAGACAAACCCAGCTGCCTCACCTTGGTCTCTCCTCCCCCAACAAAATCTAAATATGTTAACGTTAGTTACTTACACCAAAGATAACCTTGAGTAACTTGCGCCCTCAAAGTTTCTCCACAAGGTAGTTTCCATGAGCAAGAGATTAATTTTAATGCAATTTCATATTTGTTATTAAAAAGTATATATATATATATATATTTCCACACCAGTCCTTATAACCATTATTTTTCAATTTATTTATCAATTACTAAGAATTACTATTGTTACGACAGCGGAAGTCGTGCGACATTGGGAGCATGTGCTGGAGTTTTAGAAAGATCAAGGTGCCGGTCGAACGTCCTAGCGTTTGCTAGATGCGCGCTTTTATTGTAGATAAGCCGGCAAATAAAGTGACGGCAATAATTTAATTGCAGACAGAGAGATATAGAGACAGATAATCGAGTCAAGTCGTAAGTAAAGTGCGTGAATTGTTGTAAATTATAGCGTGTTTTTAAGTTAAAGTAACTGTGGAAATTAAGTGTATTGCAAAGTTGTATTGAGAAATAATAAATTAGTTTTATTTAAGAAATGACTTGTATCGCTAAAGTTTCATCGGAAAGGATTTCTACAGAGAATTAACAAACGAGCACAGAGACATAACAAATTGGTGTCAGAGAGTGGGACGGATAAGAAAATAAATGTAAACGAGAATATATTTCGTACTGTCACCACTAGGCTTATAGTTAATATGTTTATTAGCAACACTTGCTATTATACGAAACTAGTAATGTACGTCTGAGTAGAAAGTTTGGCCAACACCAGACAATGTGGGAGAGTTAAGAAGTTTCTTGGGACTCTGTACTTATTACCGGAAGTTTGTGAAGGACTTTGCAACTATAGCTGCTCCACTACATGATTTGACTAAAAAAGGCCAGAAGTTTGAATGGACAGTTTCTTGCCAGCATTCTTTCAAGACGTTGAAAGAAAAATTGGCCTCCACTCCACTTTAAAAGCTTCCAGATCCCTTACTGCCGTACATACTGGATTGTGATGCTAGTAATGTCGGAATTGGAGGAGTGTTGCTTATCTTTAACAAGCCCTGCCTGTAGACACAGGTCTCTTTTAGCAAAGATAAAATAAAAAAAAGGCATGAAACGATAGGGACTTTTAGAGAACTAAAAGTGACGCATAGCTCAACGAAAGATATTGTTACAACATCGAGGTCACGTGACTAGTATCACTCCACGTCATT